CACTATCCAATTTTAGAATATTTTAGTCCCCCCACAGAAAAGAAACCCCATACCCATTAGCAGTCATTTCCCATTTCTAATCAGCACCAGTTCAGTTCAGTTCAGTCTTTCAGTCATGTCCAACTCTTTGTGAGTGACCCCATGGATTGCAGCACACCAGACCGCCCTGTCCATCACCAACTCCCTGAGTTTACTCAAACTTATGTCCATTGAGTCAGTGATGGCATCTAACCATCTCATCCTCTGTCATCCCCTTCTCCTCCCGCCTTCAATCTTTCCCAGCATCAGGGTCTTTTCAAATGAGCCAGCTCTTCACATCAGGTGGCCAAAGTACTGGAGTTTCAACTTCAGCATCCGTCACTCCAATGAATATTGAGGACTGATTTCCTTTAGGATGAACTGGTTGGATCTCCTTGCAGTCCAAGGGACTCTCAAGAGTCTTCTCCAACACCACAGTTCAAAAGCATCAATTCTTTGGCGCTCAGCTTTCTTTATAATCCAGCTCTCACATCCATACATGACTACTGGAAAAACCATAGCTTTGACTAGACGGACCTTTGTTGGCAAAGTAATGTCTCTGCTTTTTAATACACTGTCTAGGTTGGTCATAACTTCATCACCACAGCCATAAACCACCACTCATTTACTTTCTCTCTCTACAGAGTTGCAGATGTTTTATATAAACATAATCACACAATATGTGGGATTTTGTAGTTGATGTACTACAGTTGGCATAATGTTTTCACATTTTATCTATAATATGTAGTGCTGGAACTTCATTCCTTTTTATGGCCAAATAATAATTGCATTGTATGGATATGCTCATTTTATTTGCCCATTCATCAGTTGATGGATGTTTAGATTGTTTCTATGTTTTCCATGTTATGAATAATGCTTCTGTGAACACTGGAGTACATAAATTTTTGTGCTGTATGTTTTTATTTCTCTTGCACATTTGCGTAAGAGTGGAATTCCTGGGTCATATAATAATTGTATGTTTAACTTTCTGAGGAACTGCCAAATTGTTTTACAAAGCAGTTGCACCACTTTTCATTCCCACTGGAAATGCATGAGGTTTCTCTGCATCCTTGCCAATATTTATTATTATATTTTTTATTATAGCCAATTTAGTGGGCTCATCGTAGTTTTGATTTACATTTCACTAATGAGTAATGATGTTAAGCCTCTTTTTATATACTTATTGGCCACTTGTATATCTTTGGAGAAATGTCTGTTTGGATCCTTTCTCATTTTTTGTTTCTTTTTTTCATTTAAGCTGTTCTTTTTTTGAGTTATAATTTCTTCATATGTATATTTTGGACACAATTAACCCTATTAGGTAAATAATTTGAAAATATGTCCTCTTATTCTATGAGTTTTCTTGTCATTTTCTTGGTACTGTTTATAACACAAAGGTTTTTAATTTTGATATAGTCCAATTTATCTTTTTGTTCTTTTTTTTTTTCTTTTGGTGTACTGGAGTGGATTGCCATTCCCTTCTCCAGGAGATTTTCCGACCCAGGGAACAAACTCGGGTCTCCCGCATTGCAGAAATAACCATTACCGTCTGAGCCACCAGAGAAGCCCAGTTTATCGTGTGTGTGGGGGGGGGGGTGTGTGTGTGAGTGTGTGTGTGTGAGTGTGTGTGTGTGTGTGTGTGTGATTTGTGCTTTTGGTATTGTATCTGAGAAACCATTGCCGAATCCAGGATCACAAGGATTGACTCCTGTTTTTTCTTTTAACAGTTTTAAGACACTTTTGATTTTCTTTTCTTTTTTCTGCCATGCTGCATGGCATGTGGGATCTTAGTTCCCCAACCAGGCGTCAAACCTGTGCCCCCTATGGAAGCAGTTAGAGTGCGGGGTCTTAAGCACTGGACCTCCAGGGAATTTCCACTTTCAGTTTTCTGAAACAACCATTTCATATCTTTTCCTCACTCGATAAGCCATTGTCACCCCCCTGCCCCCAGTTCCAGCTGATGACCTCATCTCCCTTTTGTTGAGAAAACAGAAATATCCAGAAGGGAATCCCTCTTCCATTCTTCAGATCTGTGAATGGGCCTGTCCCTCTTCATCCTCCTCAAGGTCAGCCCGCTCCGCCTGGGCTCTGCTCCATCCCCTCCTCCTCCAGGACTTCACTGCTTCCGTCCCTCCTTGTTTGTGACTACAGCAAGCTTCATAAGCACGCTTATAAAACATGCAAGCATGCTTTAGTGTTTCCCATCATTGAAAACCCTTGGCTCCAGATGTTCTACTCCCCTCATACCCACACTTCTTAAGTGTTTTTCTCTCACGCTGCCTCCATGTCTCACCAGTAATTCCTCTTCAACCCCCTCCAGCTATTCACTGAACCGCTCTGATCAGACACCAACGATCTCCATATTGCTAAGTCCAAGGTAAATTTTTCCCTTTTTCAGCCTCAGCACAGTTAGCCAGTTTCAACACCCTTCTCCACAAACCACTCCTTTCTCAGTTTCTGTGACTCCATGCCCTCCTAGTTATCCCCACTTCCTTGGTTATTTCCTCTGTATCCTTTCTCCAGCTCCTCTACTTTTTCTCAGCTACTAAATATTGGAGCACCTCAGAATTAAGACTGGGCCTTCTTCCCTATAAACTAGGTAACCTTATCCATTTTCATGACTTTTAATATTATTTGTGCGCTGGTGGTTTCCATATGTGCATCTCCAGGTCAGACTTGTCCTGTGTGCTCCATACTGGTAGATCTGACCACCTTCTCTGTGTATATCTCTAGACATCCATCCAGAACTACCATGCTCTCTATTCTGCTTTTTCTCATCTCAGTAAATGACACTGCATCCATCCATTTGCTCAGGCCCCAAAACTAGGTCTCATCCATATTTATTTCCCTCTGTCACCTCCCACATCAGTTCATCATCAAGTTCTGACTGTCCTGCCTGCAAAATACAGTCTGTGTGTCTACTCCGCTCCATCCTGACCTAATCTAAACGCCCATCATCTCTGACTTGAACCCCTGTGTTAGCCTCCTAGGGAGTCTCTCTGCCTGTACTCTTGCCCCATCCCAGTCCATTTTCATCACAGAAGCCCACTGTAGCTTTGACAGTGGTTCTTATTGTAGGTTTGACTATTTCTTGTCACAGTTTTCATGAGAAAGGGAGGCTTTTTTCTAATTTGCACCAAGGTAGATTTGCATTTAGGCTAGCATATTTATGTCTTTTCCCTTCTCTGATGCACCAAGGTCTTTTTCTGTCTAGGCCCCAGCCTTATCCTCTATGCTTTTCTTTCTTTCAAATATGTCAGACTTAAAAAATTCAAACAAAAAAATTGCCATATAACCTTTGCGCCTAGGGAGTCTCTCTGCCTGTACTCTTGCCCCATGCTAGTCCATTTCCTTCTCGCTTCAGCTTCAGTCTTCCCAGTGAATATTTAGGATTGATTTCCTTTAGGATGGACTGGTTTGAACTCCTTGCAGTCCAAGGGACTCTCAAGAATCTTCTCCAACACCACAGTTCCAAAGCATTAGTTCTTCAGTGTTCAGCCTTCTTTATGGTCCAGTTTTCACATCCATACATGACTACTGGAAAGACGATAGCTTTGACTAGACAGACCTTTGTCAGCAATATGTCTCTGCTTTTTAATACACTATCTAGGTTTGTCATAGCTTTTCTTCCAAGGAGCAAGTGTCTTTTAATTTCATGGCTGCAGTCACCATCTGCAGTGATTTGGAAGCCCAAGAAAATAGTCTGTAACTGTTTCCATTGTTTCTCCATCTATTTGCCATGAAGTGATGGGACTGGATGCCATGATCTTAGTTTTTTTAACATTGAGTTTTCAGCCCACTTTTTCACTCTCCTCTTTAACCTTCACCAAGAGGCTCTTGAGTTCCTCTTTGCTTTCTGCCATAAGGGTGGTATTATCTGCATATCTGAAGTTATTGACATTTCTCATTGCAATCTTGATTCCAGCTTATGCTTCATCCAGCCCAGCGTTTTGCATGAGATACTCTGCATATAAGTTAAATAAGCAAGGTGACAGTATACAGCCTTGATGTACTCCTTTCTCAATTTGGAACCAGTCCATTGTTCCCTGTCTGGTTCTAACTGTTGCTTCTTGACCTGCATACAGGTTTCTCAGGAGGCAGGTAGGGGGTCTGGTATTCCCATCTCTTTAAGAATTTTCCACAGTTTGTGGTGATCCACACAGTTAAAGACTTTAGCACAGTCAGTGAGGCAGAAATAGATGCTTTTCTGGAATTCTCTTGATTTTTCTGTGATCCGATGGATGTTGGCAATTTGATCTCTGGTTCCTCTGCCTTTTCTAAATCAAGCTTGAACACCTGGAAGTTCTCGGTTCACGTACTGTGGAAGCCTAGCTTAGGGAATTTTGAGCATTACTTTGCAAGCATGTGAGATGAGTGCACTTGTGCAGTAGTTTGAACATTCTTTGGGATTGGAATGAAAACTGACCTTTTCCAGCCCTGTGTCCATTGCTGAGTTTTCCAAATTTGCTGGCATACTGAGTGCAGCATTTCAACAGCATCCATCTTTGAAAGGATTTGAAATAGCTCAGCTGGAATTCCATCACCTCCACTAGCTTTGTTCATAGTGAGGCTTCCTAAGGCCCACATGTCAAGTTACCTTTGGTTTTATAGTCTGTTGACCCAACTGTTGGTAATTTATAAACCTGGTTTGCTTAATTTAGTCAACAGTTTTCAAGCTTTTCCCACAGTTGCTTTACTGAAGCATTCAAAGTAAATGACACTTTATTCCATTGTACTTGAATAGCCATGACTAAAAACTAAGTTTCTATAAACCTATCCAGAAACCAGTAAAACCGTTGGCAGTGTGAACCATCCTGATGTAATTTGGTTCTCCTTGACTTCTATGTACTGTCTTAAGGAGGGGTGCACCTGTAACTGCATGCTAGCGTGAGGCTTGTCAGATGTGCAGAGCACAGAGCGAGTGGTCCCGGCCCTGTGACTCGTGCGAGGCTGTCTAACGTAAGCTCCTTTTCTGTTGGCAGTGCACGACTTGGTTTTCTGGCGTGATGTGAAGAAGACTGGCTTTGTCTTTGGCACCACACTGATCACGCTGCTGTCCCTGGCAGCTTTCAGCGTCATCAGTGTGGTTTCTTACCTCATCCTGGCTCTCCTGTCGGTCACCATCAGCTTCAGGGTCTACAAGTCTGTCATCCAAGCTGTACAGAAATCAGAAGAAGGCCATCCGTTCAAGTGAGTTCAAGTATCATAAGTGATGCTGTACAGCTTGGGGAAGGGTTTGCAGAGGCTGGTCAGATCCAGACCAGACCTGATTAGAAATCAAGGACCATAGGGCCTAATGCAGCTGCACGGGGGCGTGAAACATCAACTCGAGACTGCTTTATGAAGTGACCAAGTTAGGAGCCAGGAACTTTTTGACAGACTATAGAGGTTCACCTAAAAGGACTGTCTGAATTCCTGGGCAGGGTCATCCTGTAGAGAAAGCAGAGCATCTGGACAGCACTCAGTTAAATGGGGTCCCAGGTACATGTTTAAGCCCCGGTAGTTAATACTTAAAACAGCCTGGGAATATTGTTGTTGAGGATGCATTCTTGGCAATATCAGAACTCAGTGTGTATATTCTTGGTTTTATTACTGATTTCCTTCCTATCTCTCCTTTAGTTACCTTAATACCAGTGGCAAGTCGTGATCAAGTCAGTAGGTCATGCATTTGTAGAATCCAGTTGCTACTTTTTCCAACTGTGCTATGACTTTAACAAATGTTTTCCTCACTCCTTTTCTCTTGAAAGTCTTGGCCCATAAAAATTTTAACATCAACAAATGGCATTATTTTATTATTTCCAAATGGTACATTTTTAAAACCACTTCTCATGGAAAAAGAAGTATTTCTCTTGATCTCTCAGAACTGTGACAGAATAGGTGTCTGACTGCAGCTTTGGTCCTTGTGTTTTCTCCTGGTGAAAATAGAAGGAATAATTTAAGCTATATGTGGCATTTAAAAAGTTACTTACAAATTGGTTTTAATAGATCAATAGTTGTTGATTGATTGGGTGGATAAATTTTACTCTTTTGCCACAAGCTGCAATGTAGAAGTTTTTTGTTTTTTGGTTTTTTTTTCTCCTTTAGCATGACGCTGTTATAGATTATAAAATGTGTTTTGCTGGGTTGTGTTAATTATAACATCTAGTTTTTATAACTTTTGTGTTTGATAGTAAATATTTCCTTAATAAACAGGAAAGAAAAACATGCCTATTATTCTTCTGATTTTTCCCGCAAGACTATAGGCTGTTTGAGGCAGAGGCAGTTTTATTTTTCTGATATCCCTACACCTAGCAGAGGGTCTGATACTCATGGGCACTCAGTAAGTGCTGAGTGAATGAACAGGTTATGAGCAGGTGGTTACATCTCAGTTCTATAATGCATCTTGGGAACATAACCCAGGTCTTTGTGTTTTTTTAAGAAATATTTTATAATGCCTCCTTTATCATTTTGAAATGAAATTCATAGATAATATTACCAGTAAATAATTTTTTGATCATGATTATAAGGAGTGGTAAAATAGAAAATCACTGACAGTAAAACAATAAGCATTTCAGTCAATATTTTAATTTCTTAGAAATAACTACACCAAAAAAAAAACTAAAGATACTTTAGATCAGATACTTCCATGTATATTTATAATCTCTCTTACAGATGTGATTTTCCAAAATGGCAAAAAAAAAATAAGGTTTAAGATTAACTGATAAACAAAATACAGTTTTAGACAATTCGGGATATGTTAAAATTGTGGGGAAAATACTTTGTTTTTATATGTTCTGGGCTCTTGATAATTATAGATAGGTTCACCTTCATGGATATCCTATGAGATAGTAGAAGTTCTGCAGGACATTAGGCAGTTCTTTATTGTACATGACTGTCCCACACTGCAGACATAGGGCAGCTTTGCCTCTACCTGCCAAATAACAGTCATGTCCCCCCGACCCCATGTTAGCAAAAACTGCCTCTGCAGATTTCACACACCCTTCGGGGGATTTGACCCTCTGAAGAACTTCTGTGCTAACAGAAAGAGATCGTCTCCTGCCATGTCAAATGTGTGACTGTTGTTTCTTCTTCTGGAAGAGCCTACCTGGATGTCGACATCACTCTGTCCTCAGAAGCTTTCCATAATTACGTGAACGCTGCCATGGTGCACATCAACAGGGCCCTGAAACTCATCATTCGTCTCTTTCTGGTGGAAGATCTAGTTGACTCCTTGAAGGTTAGTTGCCTATACAGCTTTTGGTGGTGAGGCTGAGGAAAACCAGGGACTGAGTTATAATTCAGAGGAAGGCAGTAAATAAGGTTTTATCAGACAAAAGCAAAATGTATGCTTATCTCAATCAATCTATAAAAATGGAAGTAGGGGTTAGTAAAGAAGGTACTTTCTGCACCGGGAGAACTAACATCAGGATATGGATAACATATGTAATTGATAGAAATGCAGTTACCATCTGTTTGGGGGCCTGAGAGAGCCACTGAATTCTCTTATGCACCCTCAAATGTATAATAGAAAGAGATAACCTTCATCTTGAAATTATTAGCGGCATACATCACTAAATTTATGAGGACTTAGCCAGAAAAGACTAACATCAAAAACCTGAATTTTGTAAGATCCCCTGGAGGAGGGCATGGCAACCCACTCCAGCATTCTTGCCTGGAGAGAGGAGCCTTGTGGGCTACAGTCCACGGGGTCGCAAAGAGTCAGACACAACTGAGCACAGCCCAACCTGAATTTTGCCTTATGATTATTCCTGCTTAACCCTCTGATGTTGGCCTTCACAGCTTGCTGTCTTCATGTGGCTGATGACCTATGTTGGTGCCGTTTTCAATGGGATCACCCTTCTGATTCTTGGTAAGGTGGCAGGGAAAATGTCTTCAGGCTCTATGAAGTAATTGGTGAGAGTAAGAGCAAAGAGAGCTCAGCATGGCTCCAGTCCTTTCACACTGGCGCAGCCTTCAACATCCATAAAGACCTTGACTAGATATTGGAGGAACCTGTGTTTGTGGGCACAGGTTTATTAAATGGTCCCACCTATAAAGAAACATCCAGACAACTAGAAATAATAAAGGAGAGTTGTCTAGATTTGGTTTAAATATGAGGATCTTCATAATTTGGAAATTACTTGTGGTACAAAAGGGAAGCCTGTATACCTGCCTGTATCTAACTGTCCTTAATTGAGAGCTCTGGCCAGGATTTCTCATATTGATGAAGTTCTGTGTTTCCCTATATTTCATGAGGAAAAATATCCCTGTTACTTGTGACTTTGTTGCTGTCTCACATTTACACTTGCCATGTCTCATGATTCTGTCTTACAGCTGAACTGCTCGTTTTCAGTGTTCCAGTTGTCTATGAGAAGTACAAGGTAAGCATTTGTCTGTGTTGAATCAGATATGCCAGTTAATGTATGACTAATTTTAGTTCTTTTTTTATTTGTTTATTTATTTGGCTACATCAGATCTTTACTTGCAGCATGTGGGATCTAGTTCCCTGAACACGAATTGAACCAGGGCCCCCTTGCATTGGGAGCACAGAGTCTTAGCCACTTGACCACCAGGGCAGTCCCTAGTTCATTTTTTAGGCATTGAAAGTTGACGGCAATCTTTTTCTAGTCATTTTTACAGTCTAATTTTGTAAGTCAAGTGCCTACAAGAAACTGGTAACTGAATCCATCAGTGTGAACAGATGTCTGCATTGTAGAGTGGCTTATATTGAGTGTACTGGATGCTATGAAGTTATTTTTGATAGATTGTCATCCATCATCTGACTTGATTCATGGCTTTTTGGTATTAAATGAATTAGTCTCACCAGAAGTCAGAACATATTTGTGTTTACTGAATATAGATTAGACACACAGTTTCTGGTATTGAGAAAATGGTTAACCGAGACTTAAAGAATCTTGCCTTCAGGAAAATTGTTAATCTGTGGGTTGCCACAACTGAATGACTTTTCTTCTTTAAAGACCCAGATTGATCACTACGTTGGCATCGCCCGCGATCAGACCAAGTCGATTGTTGAAAAGTGAGTATGCTTAGGTTCCTCGTTTCATCATGACATGAGCTTTTTTTCCCCCAATTATGTTTAGTCTACTATGTAAAATGGTAATGCCAAAGAAAGTAATTTTTATCCTGGGGAAAAGGAAAGGCTTGGTTAATGGTTTCATTTTACTAGAAATTATTTCATCTGTTCCTTTGTAAAGCATTCTTTGTATCTTAAACTGAAAAGGATCAACAGAGTTAGGACCACTCTGCCTTTTTGAACTGGTTTTTAAATGTTTGTGGTTGTCTACTCGCCATTTAGTTTCACAAATATCAATATTAAGCCAAACTCTTCCTTCCTTTTTCAGAATAAGTTGTAGTAAATAAATATATTAAAGCTCAAAACTACCTCTTTTTTCTAAGACTACAGATCCTTCTGTTTTAATCAGTTTCATATTTAAATCAAATAATAAAATATTGGTAGAATTTGTATGACTCCCTATATCAAGGAACTTTGTAAGTTAGTATTTTTCCATATTTTCTTCAGATACTCTTTTAAGAAACAAAGCATCACAGCAGTTAAATTCTCTGTGCCTGCCCCCCACCTTTCACACCCCAGATTTCAGTGCTTTTTCTAGCTTTGATATGAGGAAACCTTGTCTATATCCAGACAGCCCAGACTTAATGCCTGGATCTTTACCTGCTTTTTCGCTTTCTTAGGTAGATATTGGAGCTATAGCCCAGCAAGGGCAGTTCACACAGATTTGTATATGGTTGTTGCTTATTCCTATAGAGCACAGCCAGCAGGCACTGTGCTTGCATATACCTCATTCTCCGGCATCCCCAGTGGAGGGAGCCAGGAGGTTTGGGCAGCGAAAGAGGAGGGAGGGGGTGGATTTTGGGGGTACTCTTCAGCTCATCCCAGGCCAAACTCAGCCCCTGCCTCTTTTCATCTAGAGGAAGCCCAGTGAAAATGGGAGTATTGTTCACATGACACTAGTAAGTCCAAGAGTTGTCTTCTAGGATCAGTGGTAAAACAAAAATCTAGAACTAATGTCTATATCTTCACTCTTTTTTCTTTCCTTTTCCCAATAGGATCCAAGCAAAACTCCCTGGAATTGCAAAAAAAAAGGCAGAATAAGTACATGGAAACCAGAAACGCAACAGTTACTAAAACACCATTTAATAGTTATAACGTTGTCACTTGTGCTATGAAGGACCGTGCTCAGTGTCAGCTTGAGCCTGCATTCCAAGCTTTTTAATTTGGTGTTTTCTCCCCTCCTTTCCCTCTACCCTCAGTATCAAGCACAAGAATTGTTGGACTTAAAAAAGAACGGTATCTTAGAAATATATGGATTAATATTCTGGACTTAAAAAAGAACTGGTATCTTAGAAAACCCAAAAGAATAAAGAAAGAGCCAAATTAATAGGATAAATCAGTACCTTTATGACGCTGGAGCTTTTTTACCTGTAACTTGAAAGGAGGGGAAATTGGAGGTAAAGGAGAAAATGAAAAATAGAAACCCGTGTCTTGGGTTCTTTTATCCAAATTTCAAGGACTAGTCAGTCTTCTATAGCTTCCCATCATAGTTTTGCCCTTATTTTTAAGTTAAGAAATAATGATTAACTTATGAAGAAATTATCTGGGGACAAGAATGGGATTCCTTCCCTTTTTTTGTTTTCTTTTTTGTTGTTGTTTCGTTTTGTTTTGCAGTCCTCTGATCCCATCTTCCTGCCCCACAACGTGAGCAGCTACTCCTAATCTTCTTCATTTAATGATATAACTTTCAACTCTGTGAATAACTTATAGTTGATAGTGATGATTCCTGATTCCCAGAATACCACCTGATAACCAAGAATGGAGATGGACGGTCGGATGGAGGAGGAGCACAGAGGAGCACTCCTGTGACTCCTGCGCCTCCTTAGGCAGGAAAGGCTCCACATGTGGGACGGTGGTGGTGTCTGTGTCATTTCTTCTGGACACCAGTTCTGAGCTGTAGTCTGAGCGCTTATTCCTGAATGTGCTTTCCTCCCTCTTTCCTACCCTCAAGTTTAATAAATATGGTTGTACTTTTCTTATTATAAGATAAATGTCTGTAACTGCTGTACACTGCTGTAACCTTGTTAGAGAAAAAAAATTTAATCTGCATGTGGGCCTCTCCATTATTGAGTTATTGTAATCCTGTCTCAGTCCGTGGTGGGGAAACATTCTCAAGAGGTGAACTACAGAAACACAAAGCCCTTTTCCTCTTTTCCCGACACACTCCATCTTTATTAACCTGTGCTCTTCATTGTACCCTGAGGACCAAAGCTGAGCCGGCTTGAGATGAGACTGTCTGTGGTTAAGACACCACAGATGAGTGTAGGGAGGTGCATTTTGTGGTTCAGGTGGAGTTTTGATGTAGAGGCTAGCTTATTGGACATGTGTTGTTTGAGGGTTCCTTCCATTTTCAGGCACTAAAGATGTCTTAGCACCTGTACCGTGGCGTAGGGTCCTCTTTTTGAGAGTGTTTTCCAAGAAGCTTTAGGTAAGGGTGACCAGGCAGGGGCAGATTGTGTTGGCGGGCTCCATGCACAATTAAAAGACAACAGAACAGTTCACGTTGATATCAGAGGGAGGGCATTTGAGAATCTTTGATTCCCACTTGAGACTTAGGTCTTCCTCCCCTTCCAACATGAAAATTCAGTAAACTTGAAAGATCATCTGTGAATTCCTTCAGGTTGTAATTCACAGTTGTGATAATCCAGACGGAATATGCACTGATGACTTTAAAGTAAGGGCTATAATCTTTGACGGTCCCAAAGCGGTGCAGCTCTGTAGAAGGTAGTGGAAGGACCTTTTCTTTCTACTTTGTTGAGGAAATTACTTAGGAATTTAGATGGGTAAAAGGTACCTTGCCTTACTCCACTCTTCTTTTCTTAGCCCCCTTTCCTTTTGAAATGTTTTAACTCACTTCATGTCATGGTGGGAAATGCACTCTCCGTCTCCATTTCTTGCCCTCCCAAGAAGTCAGTGTACTGACTGTCTTTCTGGGCTTCCCCTCCAAAGGACCTTTCCTGTGCTTGAAGCCTCCACACCTAGCTTTTGTTTCGTCACTGCTGTGTTCAGGTTGATCATACAGATCTTTGTGCCACACAGGAATTTTCTTTTTTTTTTTTAAGAAAAATCTGTAGGTGAAAAATTACTAATGAAACTGTGTGCGTGTATGTGCGTGCAACATAAAAGTACAGTAGCACCCAAGGGGCTTGAGCCTCGGTTCTTGTAAAACTGCAGGTTGATGTGGCATTAATAAAAAAGAAGAAAAGGAACAGTGCCTGTGGTGTCATTCTGCTAACTTTATTCTTTATACACAGTTTGGGTAAAGTCAGAACCAGACGAGGCTTCCACTGGCCCCCATCCCCACTCCACTTTCGAGGCTTTAAAAAGTGACTAATAGTTGATACTAGTAATGATTTCCAAGATTGCAGAATTTCCATAGTAGAGCAAAGCTGTGCATTTGGTTTCTGAAAGAAAATAAGAGACCCTCTAAGAGGTGACTGTAGGAGAAAGATGATGAGTGGAAGGGGCCAGGGGGGTCTGTTGTCCCAGTTCACAGCAACCTAGGAGGGTTCCCCCACCTGCAACATGAAGCAGCCTGTAACTCCCACAGTCACAATGTACTTACAGTAAGACTCAGTCACCATGGAAAATGGAAACTTTTCCATCAGGTCTTTGCTGAAAGAACTTATCTTGGATTTGCTCCTTCCCAAAACTAAGGTTGCCATGACCCTTAAGTTAATTTTTTTAAATTTATTCAACATACCTCTTAGAAAACTTAGGCTGAAATTTTTAAAAAGTAACTGATGCAAACAGCTTCACAAATACGCATACAAATGTTCAAATAATGTCACTAACATGGTATATAAATATGTATTCAGAGTAACATTTACATATTGGCCATAATAGCAAGCATACCATTAACAAAAAAATATTCATGAAGAAACTTCACCTGTTCATATCAGACTCCCAAGGCAAGGAGGAGGCACCTAGAGATGAGAACCACCTAATCTGACTGTTGATTCAAGAGGCTATAATAGCTGCAAAGTAGTAATAACTACAATGCCACTGTAGTTCACTGGTGCTCAGATCTTTAGCGTGCCTTGTGATCATTGGAGGGCTTATCAAAACAGATTGCTAGGCTCCATGCCAGTTTCTGATCCATAAGGTGCCACCCAAGAATCTGCATTTCTACTAACTTCCTAATTTCTGTTGGCCACACTTTTGAGAACCAGTGGAGTGTTTGGGGCTGCTTCTCAATGAAGACATCCACTCTTGCCCTCCTAAGGCCTCTCCCTGCCTATTGAGAGCAAAAACCATTCTCACCCTGCTCTCTGCCCTGGCTTACCTGAACTTCGGCAGAGGGTGTGGATGGCTGTGATAGTTGCCCCAGTCTGCCTACTGTTTTTGAACAGGCAGAGTAGCAAAAGTGGCAGAGCACTCCTGGATCTGAAAACAACATGCATGAAGGAAAATAAAAGAATGGCAGTACCCAACCTGGGGCCATCCATAATCCCTGCTCTCTTTTAATACTGTCTCAAAAAACCTGGAGGTTCAAACACTCTAGGAATTCACTTTTCAGATGAGTGACAGCCCACGCAGCATTCCCTGAACCCCTGGTGGCATCAACACCACAATGCCAGAGCCTTTGCCGAGCAGGGAGGCCTTGGGCCAGGCGGCAGTCAGCTCTACTTCTGGAATTCTGGTCCAGAAAGCTGCTGCTGGCACCCTCCAGCTAAAGCCAGTGGTGACAAGACTGCCCTGTTGAATACTTGTTCCAGGAAAGTGTGCTGCTCTTTGCCACCCCCAGGAGCCCACAGCTGCACTGGGAGGGACTGCAGAGCCCAGCACACGCCATCCTTCGGCAGGCCTAACAGTAAAAGAAATTTTAACTTACCAGAGATGGGGAGGCCATATGGTGTAGTGCAAAGAACACTGAACTGGGGGTTGAGGTTTTTATTCTAGTCCTAGAATTGCTCCTGCCTGGTGTGTGATAATTTCAGTTCCTGGACTCCATCTTACATATCTGTGAAAGGGGTGGGGGCAGGTACTGGTTGATCTCCAAGGTCTTTCCAGCTCAGATAATTTTGAGTTATATAAAAAATGCTATAAAATCCGTGGTATAAAATTCAATTCCCAATCAGAAGTCGAGGGGAGTGGGCCTTGAGGCACTTGAACCTTGGGCTCTGGCCTGGGAGTACTGAGATGAGGAAGGCTTTCCTCTCTGCTCTGCTTTCCCACTCACAGAGGCAGCTGCCAAGGCCGCTGCCCCTCCAGACCCAGCCCTGAAGTCCCCACCCGCTGATCTCCCCACTCAGCCTTTAAGACCAAAGGAACCGGCCTGGCTATGTGGAGAGCGCCAGTGGGTTACTAGAGACTCCTCGGAGGAGCCTGGTGAGGCACATATTAGTCTATGATGTTTGGGGTCCCCCCGCCCGCGCCTCCTCACTCCTCCTACCTTTAGGTCTTTCCTCCACCACCTCACAGCTTATCTCTGATACACGCATAATAAATAAGACATTTGCACATAAGGGTGACGGACAGCTCTCTTCCCGCCCCTCCCTCTCTCATATAAAAGCATTAAATACAGTTTCAAAATAAAATACAAAGAGCAAAAAGGGCCTGATCCCGGGGCCACCTGTTCTCCACAGGAGAATGAATGTACACATCCCTCTCGGACCTGCCTGGGAGATCGCGGGACCCGTTCCGGCCCCTCGCGGCCTGGCTCTGCCGCGGAGAGGAGAAAAAGGAAGGCCGAGGCCCGGCCCCGGGCCCAGAGGGCTGCGAATGGGTGGCACGTCCACGGCGTACAAAAGGGGGGGCAGGGAGGGGACGGGAACAGAACGCCAACTGCCGGGACCTCCAGTGTCCCGGACTCGGACTGAGGGCGCTTGAAGCAGGCGCGCCTGACTGAGCTTAGGGGTACAGGCAGACCTTCGGAGCAGGCGAGCAAAGGAAGAAAGTGCTAATCCCTTTACAAGATCTCGGCGCCGGCGGGCGTGGCAGGGGCCGGGCAGGAGGGCGCGGCGGTCCCCGCAGAGCCCGCCCCGCGGGCGGGGCTCGGGCCCGGCCCGGCCCTTCCACCGCCCCCCCACCCCGCGCCCCGCCCTCCCGCCCGCGATCTTCCGCGCCTTCCCCGCCCGCGGGCCGGCGGGCTCCCAGGCCCCACTGCCCCTCCTCGCGAGGAAGGCCCTCGTCTGCAGTCCAGGCCACGGAGCGGCCGCGATGGCCAGTAACGAACGGCTGGGGGGCAGCCGTGCCTGCCGGCGTGCCTCTGTGAAACCTCGGCGCCCCCCACCCCCCCAAGCCAAGAAAAAGGGACCTGCGCGTCCCTTCTGCACGCCCTCCGCTCCACCTACTTGGGGCCCTAATACTGATGGCGCCCCGCCCGCCCAAGGCTGGCCTGGCGGAGTGCGACCGAGAGCAGAAAGCTCTCCGTGCACCAACTGAGTCTTCTCAGGAACTTGGGGCCTGGAGCGGCGAAGGCCCGGGCTCCGGGTCCGAGAAGAGGGCACTTCCCGCGGGGCCCGCACTAGCTTGAACCCGCCACACCACCCCAGTCCCGAGAGTCTCCGCCCTGCCCGGCCAGCGGGGGTGGGCAGCGGCCAGGGCCGCGGGGAGCCGGGGGAGTCGGCCCGGCACCGCCGCCCTCCCCCTCGAGTGATCTACGCCCGACACACGGCGCCCGCCTTGAGGTCCGCGCCGCCATCGCGCGGCGCCGCCGGGGCGGGCGGCCCGAAGCCCTCGTGACCGTAGCAGCGCAGCGCCGCCTCCTCGTAGGCCTCCAGGATGGTCTGACGCTCCTCGGGCGTGAAGTCCATGGAGAAGGGGTGCACCTGCAGGATGTGCCGCTTGATGGTGCTGACCTTGAGCGTGGCCAGCGCGCCCCCGCACACCATGCAGACCAGGCCGCGCCGGCTGCCGTCGTAGTCCATCAGGTACTCGCCCCGCCAGCGCGGCTGGTAGTTCCGCCGCTGCTCTCGGCTGCGGGGCGGGGGAGGTGGGGGCGGCGGCGGCGGCGGAGGGAAGGCGAGCGCCCCGGGATCCGGGCCGTCCTCGTCGTCCTCCTCTTCCTCCGCCTGCCGCTCCGACGGTTCCCCAGGGGAGAGCGGGACGTCGCCTAGAACGGAACAAAGGACCGCTCTGGAGCGTCCCGGCCTCGTGACCCCCCCACCCGTGCCCTCCGGTGGTGCCAGCCTCCCGTCTCCCCTTCGACCTTCCACTGTCCCCACCCGCCTTCTACCCCTAGCCCCTCTCCCTCTCCACCTGCTCTGACCCAGCTCACCCCACCACTCCTCCTCTGGCTGCTCCTCCTCTGCCCCTCCCCCCTCCTCGGAGGCTGCGGCTGTGCTGGGGGCGGCGGGGTCCCCGGGCGATTCGGGGCAGGGCAGCCCCAGGGCCAGCAGGTGGGCGGCCTTCTCGCTCCACTCCTGGGCGATGAGGGCCCCGACTGGCCCGCCGAGGCGCGCGGAGCCCGGGTGGCGCCGGCGGATGTGCCGCTTGATGGTGCTCATCTTGAGCGAAGCCAGCGCGCCCCCGCACGCCAGGCACACCAGGCCGCGCCGGCCGCCGTCCAGTTCCAGGAGGTACTCCAGCCGCCAGCGCTCCGGGCAGTGGCGGCGGGGGTCGCGGCCCCGCGCAGGCCGGCCGGGGACCCCCACCCTCTCGCCCTCCTCCGGCTCCTCCTCCCCTGCCGGCCTGGGCACCCTCTCAGGGACCCAGCCAGCCTCTTCCTTTCCGTCTGGGGGGCTGAGGTCCTGAGAGGAAGGGGCTCCAGCAGCGGGGGCCGGGTCCCGGCTCTTGCTGGTCAGGTCCTGGGGGACGAGGTCATCGTCTGTTGGGGAAGGGGTGAGGGAGAGGGGCTCAGCTTGCTGGTTGGGTTGCCCTTACCCACAAAGAGGGGGTCCCTTGCTTCTCATCCCAGCCCTAAACTAGAAGCCCCACCAGAATCTTGTGTGTGCGTGTCTATGGGGGCTGGGGCGGGGGAGGTACGTGTGGGTGGGGGGATGAGTCCCCCCCCAACCAGAACTTCTGTGTGTGTGTGTGTCTGTGGGGAAGGGGGAGGTGTGAATGCCTATGTGGGGTGAGGAGCGTGTGTATGTGGGGGGAAGGTGGGGGGCGGTGTCTATGTGGGGGGAGGGGTGTGTGTGTATCTATGTGGAGGGGGGAGAGATGAGTCCCTCCCAGTTTTGGCCACAGACCTCTTTGCAGCCCTTATATAAAGGGGTCCTGGCCGTGGGGTGGGCCTCGCACCTGGTGGGGACTGGGTGAGCTCAGACAGCGCCTCCGGCTGGCCACCCCAGGCCTGCAGCAGGGCACTAGGCTGGGGGGCCCTACGCTGGGGGCCGCGGAGCCCCAGGCAGCTAGGGTGCACCTCCAGCACGTGGGCACGGATGTCATCCAGCTGCAAGCTGGGCAGTGCCCGGCCACAGGCCATGCACACCAGCCGGTTCCCCCGCGGGTCATAGTCCATGAGACACTCTGCCCGGAACCAGTTCTGCAGGGACTCCTTCAGCCTCCGCTCCAGCCGCCGGGCACCCAGCCCCCTGCTGCCCCCAGCCCTCCGGGAGGCAGAGAGGCACCGACGCGGAGCCCCGGGTGCCCCTGGGCCCCCTCGCCTCTGGCGCCGGCCGCCCCCGCCAGCTGGGGCTTTGCCTGAAAGGGTTGGAGGGAGGGAAGGAACTGAGATGCTGGCCCTCTGGGAGAGCCCCCCCCACCACAGCCAGGCCCTTCAGCCACAAGCCTCTCCCTCACTGCTGACTCTGAGCCCTCGGCCTAACCTTTGCCCTTCCCTTCCTCTCTCCTCAAGTCTTAACTCCTTCATCTCCTAATCTGCCTGCACACAAAGCCTCAGCCCCACCCGACTCCCCCACAGGTCCAGATTCTAGCCCCTTCCCTAGACTTCACTGTCATACCTTTCCAGTACCCTCTGCTCCCAGGCCTCCCTCCAGCCTCCACTCCCTGGATCCTTCTAAAACTACAGAATGTCAAAACTGTCTGCGATGCTGGAGATCTGGCCCCACGGTCCCTCACCCACTACTGTCCAATAAGCAGAGCTCACCCCAAAAAGGAGCAGTAGCTTGCTCCAGGAAACCAGCTAGTTGGCTAGGAAGCCCGGGCTGGCCCCACCTGGCCCCATCCACCACCCAGGCCCCAGCTTCCCCAAGTCGGACATTACCTGGGCCCTTGGGCAGGCTAGTCTGGAGGCCAGCCCCTTCTTCCTCCTCTTCCTCGTCGTCCTCCTCCTCCTCCTCAGGCCCCTGGGCCCCCAGCCCCTCGGCCTCTCCGCAGGCCCCCAGCCCCAAATGGGCATCCCAGCTGTTGCTGATGACTTCTTTCTCCCGGGGACTCCAGTGCAGGGAGTAAGGGTGCTTTTGGCGGATGTGTCGCTTGATGGTGCTGAGCTTGAGAGTGGCCAGGGAGCTGCCGCACACCATGCAGACCATGCCGTGCCGAGCAGGGTTGAAGTCCATCAGGTACTCCAGCCGCCAGTGGTCATGGTAGTAACGACGATGGTCACGGCCAGGAATGCGGCTTTTGCCAGGCCTCGAGGCCCGGGCCTCACAGTGGTCTGAGTATTTCCTGCCTGAAGATGCTGGTCCCCTGGCCCTGGAGGAGGGCAGGGGGGCACTCCCCCAGGACCCTAAGGCACCCCCTTCCAGCTGAAGATCTTGCCCTGAAGGGGGGAGGAGGGGGGAAAGGGAGACAGTTTCTCAATCTCTAAGATTTCCAGGGAAAGAACCTAGGGCTTCCATTTGCAAGAGAACGGAGGTGGGAGAGAGGTCTGTTCAGGGGCAGGAAAGGGACTGCAAGAGCAATCAAAGGGAGGTGGCAGAGCAGGGAGTCAAAACATTGGTCCTTTACAAAGAATGAGACCCCTCTAAGAGAGGATCAGGAACAAAAGAATGCAGGGCACAGCTCTAATTTCTTTCAAAAAATGAAGGTGAAGGCCAAGGAGGCAGCAGGCTCTGCAAGGCACCCCTTCTGGATGAGCACTGTCAGGGGTAAAGCCAGGGGAGCGGCCTGCTGGGCGGTTATAGCAGGAGCAGAGCGGGCAGCGGGGCCAGAGAACAAAGGGGGCATCTGTCTGCACAGAGGACCCACCGCCCGAGGCCCCAGTCCAGAGGGCCCCACCCAAAGATGATCTTTTTCCCTTTCTGCAATAGTGCCTCAAATACACCTTCCTAAGAAGCCCATTTTAAGGGGCACTAAACATTGTCAGGTCCCAAAATTAAGGGACCCCATGACAAAGCTGTCAGCACCTCCAGAGAAAGGAGTTTTTAGGACTAGAGTCTGGGAGAGCTGATGACTGGAAGGGGCCGGCAGGAGGGCCACCAGAGTAGCTACTGAAGATACTGCAGCAGGGAGTGGCCACCACCCACCGGAATCCATTAAGTCTTTCTGGGGATTTATTTTTTGCTCTGGCCGGGAGCTGGCCACTGCCCAGCAATCAGTGGGCAGGCAGTAGAGAGGCCAACAACCCAGTAATGTCCCCTTTTGCCAAACGGAGACCCTGAGCAGTCCCCCCCACTTTCCCTACAGTTTGGACCGTATTTCATTTAGAAAAGGGTCTCCTGGCCAAATAGGCTGAATAGACAGATGTGGTCATCCTCCCAGGAGAGAATCTCACCGTATGGAAAACAAAAGGCAGGATCAGAGAGGGCTCCTGTCACCCTGTTTTTGTTTGGTTTTGGTTTAAGTACATCGAAGAAAAAGAAAGCGCTAGTTTCAGAGTCAGAAACGTGGGTTTGACTCCGGACTTCACTGGTAACTTGCTCTGTGACCTTTGGTAGGTGATGTCCGCTCTCTGGGCCTGAGTGTCTTTGTCTGCAAAGGCACTGGATAGCTAGCTGGTCTCTCAGCATCCTTCCAGCGCCGGATCTGTTAGTCTAAGGTGGACTGGCCCTTTAAGAGCCGAAAAAAGGGGAGGAGCTGGGATTCTTTAAAAACAAAAGGGGATGGGGAATTTCTGGCTGGGGAGCTCCGGGATTAGGGGTGAAGCTCCAGAGCCTGGACGCAAGCTTCAGGGCTCTTAAGCTGTTGACCCCGGATAAAGAAACAGCCCCCTTTGAGAGCAACCGGGGAGGACTGGCTGGTCCCTCTGTAGCTTACAAATTGTGGCAAAATTTCTGAAAAGAAGGGAGGGGTAACGCGCGGACAGAAGGGGAGTGTATGCCATTGTGGGCGAGACCATCTCTTTAAAAACTGCCCGCCCGTGGGGAAGGTACTGGGTAGGTCCCCAAGAGGCGCAAGCCATGCTCTCTTCCAGGGAGAACATAGGGGAAAAAGAAAAAGGGTGCCCTTTTCTAGGCGAGGCCCCAGAGGAGAATACAGCCCAACTTAAAGCAGCGGAGTCCCCAGCTCAGTTCCTCTGGAGGGAAGCCCCGGAAAGGGACCCAAGGTCTGGGCAGACTTTTAAGAGACAGCTGGTTAAGGGAGACCACCTGGGAGTCTGAAAGAGAAAGGGACGGGGGACGCAAGTCCCAACAGCCTAGAGCGCGCGCCCCGCGGCGTCAGGCCAGGTCCTTCGGGGCCCCTCCAGCTCGGCCTCAGAGGCGGGGGCCGCGGGGCCCTTTAAGGGGGAGGGGATCCGCCCGAGACCCGCGGGCCAACCCCGGGAGCTGGGCGGGGGGCTCCGCCGCTGGCCCTGCAGCCACGATCCGCGCCCGCCAGGTGGCGCCCCCGCCCGCCCTGCCCGCGTCCCCCGCTTTGTTCGGCGGCGAAGAGGGGCCCGGAGCCCGGAGCCGCAGCCCTCCCCTCCCCCATGCCGGGGCCCCCGCCCGAGCCGCCGGCCCCAGCCAGCTCTTACCGCTGTCGTCCTCCTCGGGTTCCGCGCTGCCGCTCGATCCGGCGGGCGGCAGCCGTCGGCCCCGTGCCGAGGCCGCTGCTGGCCCGGGGCCGCCCCTGCCGCCGCCGCCGCCGCCGCTCCGACTCCGGTGGTCCCCGCCAGGCTCCATGCGCTGCGCTGCGGCGCGGGGCCCCGGGGCGGCAGGGCGCGGGGCCGCGGGGCCGGCGGCGGCCGGCGCGCGGCGCTCGGTGCGCGGGGCCCCGGGGCGCGGGGCGCATGCACAGGGCGGCCGGCAGCACGGACGGCTGGCTGCTCGCTCGGCGGCGCGGGCTGGACCGGGGTGGGGATTCCTGTCTGGGGCCCCTGGGGCTCCTTTAAGGGCTCCTGGGTAAATTTAAAGGGGCCGCGCGCTATTTCCTCCTGCCAGCTCGCGGGGGGCTGGGGGGGAGCGTCGGGAGGCTAAGAGCCCGACCGAGGCTCCGCAGCTGGCGCCCGCCGCGGACGTTAGGAGCACGGACCTCGCCGTCCTCGCGGGCCCGCGCTGCCGCCTGCGGGGCTCGGGTCCTGGCTCCTGGAGGGTCACCGAGGTGGCCAGGGGCGCAGAGTCCGTTGCGACGCTCTTCCACCCAGGCTCGACTCGCAGCCACTGCCCCCTCGGGGCATCTCAGCGTCCGGTTTCCCGCACCCGCGCTGGCAAAGGGGGTCGCCCGGTGGGGAGGCCCGGGCCCCTGCCAGGGGCTGCCTCCTCCCGCGCGAGCTCGGCGCGGGCCCCAGAGCGGACACGAATGGCAGGGGCCCCAGATGGCCGCGGCCCCGCGGAGAGGGTGGAGCCGCGGGGGCGGCCGCGCCCCCTCCCGCGCGAGCCGCCGGGGAGCGCTGAGAGCTCAGGCTTCAGCCCTGGAGGGCGGACGGGCCAAGCGCCCTCGGAGCTGGCCGGGGCGGGGACCGCGGCCTCGGAGATCCGGGCCGAAGAGAGGGGGCGCGCAGGAGACCGCGGAGAGCCGGCCACGCCGAGGCCCGACGCCGCTGGGCGTTGGGGGCCCCAGGATGGAAGCCGGGAAGAGAGGGGGTGCGCCGCGGTCGTCTCTGGCTTTTGCCCTCGCAGGCCTGGGGGTGGCAGACGCGGCCCCGGACACTTTGGCCGGCACGAGGAGGCAAAGAACGCTGACCCCGAGGGAGGTGTCGGGCACCTGGGGACGCGCCCCACCACGGCTGGGAAGCGCTGGAGCTGACCCTGCCTGCGAGCCCCGGGATGCCTCGGAGCCCCCAGGTCCCGGGAAGCGCAGGAAAGGCGCCCGGAGAGCAGCCAGGGGCTCGGCAGCCCGGGGTCCTTCCTCGAGGACCCGCTGGAGGAGCAGGTGCTTTCTTTGCCTGTGGTTGGTCGCCCACAACAAAGGCGATTCCTAGAGATCCAAATTACAGGGTGCGGGAGGCCGTGCAGGGTCTTATTATCTCGAGGTGGGTTTTATTCTCTTCTTTGGGGACGTGCCCAGCAATCCGTTAAAGTAACGCTTGACACTCATTCCTTTGCTCACTCCACACCTACTATGTGCCAGCATGCCCCTAGGCGCTGGGCAGACAGCAGCAGGCAAGACCCACAAGTCTGATACTGACTTAGCACCCACGGCTTGTGAAAAGGAAACCGTTCCGCCCCTTTGGGAGCCATGGGAAATGCTAAATTACTTGCAGCACAGGAAGCCCGTCTCCTGAATGTGAAGAGGGGCTGGGAACTAAAATTTCTGTAGTGTCTAAAAGGTGGCTATCACCACTGGAGATGTCCCATCTCTTCCTCAGTCCCCATGATGACCTGCAAGAGACATCTCCTGGGGTTAAAACGGTCTCCCTGCTACAGGGCTGTTCTGTCCACTGCTTGCCTGCCTATGCTCCCTGACTTACTTGCGGGCATGGGACCTGATGCTGATGCAGTGCCAGATGGGGCTATGTGATGGCGGATTCCCTCATTCATGCGTTCTTCACCTCTGCCAGGCTAGGGACACAAAGGTGAAATAAGACACAGACCTGGCCTTCACATGTTCCTAAGTATGGTTTTTGTTTTATATTTTTTTAAAGGTTTATTTATTTGTGCCAAGTCTTAGTTGCAGCCCGAGGGGTCTAGTTCCCCGACCAGGGATCGAACCTGGGCCCCTTGAATTGGGAGCACAGAGTCTTAGCCACTGGACCAGGATGGAAGTCCCCCAAGTATGTTTTAAAAAAAAAAAAATTAGAAAGATAACCCATGCTCAGGGCTGACCACTGTGAGCTGCTTTTGGTAAATGTCTTTCTGGTTCTTTTTCTCTGAGTATATATAGGATAATCTTATTCGTTATCAACAAAAAGGTATGGACACCACTTAGAGGCGTTTTTAACAACCTCTGGCTCCTATCCTTGCTCCCATTTTCGAGCCTAGCTTCAGGACTAGCTCCAAGTGCATGGTTCCAAGCTATCTTCCACCCACATTTAATCCTCACAGCCATCCACAAAGAAGCTTTGCTTTGCAGATGAAGAAACAAGAGATTCAGAGTCTAGAGTCTCACCAAAGCCATTCGTTCATTTGCTTATCCACTTATTCAGAAAGCATTGATTGAGCCTGTCCTGTGTACCAAGCACTGGACTAGGGATACAGAGGTTTTAAAATTACATAACACAGCCCTGGAACGTTCTGTTCCCCACTTCCTAGGAGCTCTCAGCCCACTGGGTCTACTCTGGGAAGACAATGCAATCCTATCACATTATGACTCTTGTTGGGTCCTAGGAACTTTTGTCTCCGAGTGTGTGTGTGTGTGTTCAGTCGTGTCTGATTCTTTGCAACCCCATGGACTACAGCCCACCAGGCTCCTGTGTCCATGGAATTTTCCAGGCAAAAATACTGGAGTGGGTTGCCATTTCCATCTCCAGGGGATCTTCCTGACCCAGAGATTGAACCTGCATCTCTTGTGTCTTCTGCATTGGCAGGCAGATTTCTTTACCACTAGCACCACCTGGGAAGCCTTTGCCTCCATGGGAGTCTTCTAAAGAAAATTTTAAAAATGATTTAATGGATTTTTATGGGCCCAACAAATTTTTTTTTTCTGATGTGAGAAAAAATAACATTTTCTTTGACCCTTAAAGTTCTTTTTTTCTTCTGATTTTTAAATAAGTTAAAACATTCTCATGACCCTCTAAGATTATTGAGGACCTGACACTGTGTTCCCAGTGCCCAAAGGCTAGCCAGCCTTGATAGAATACAGGGTGACAAATGCCAAGGAAGAGGTCCCAACCAACTAGGGGAGAATTTTAGGCCAAGTATGGCTTGAGCCAAGTCTTGAAAGACCAGGAGATGTTGCCAGGGTGAGAAACAGAGGCAAGGAAGATCTAGGGTGAAGGAAAGTCTCACAAGGCAGAAGAAGAAATGGAAAGAGCAGGGACAAGAGCCTGGGGTGCCTTGCTGTGAGTCCTTGAGTTTGCCCCCGAGGTTTGGAGAGTGCCTGGAGCCAGTGCACTGGGCATTCAGGAGGCAGCCCTGAGAATACAAGGGAGGAGGGAGTGAAGAGGGAAAGGGTGGGCACACCCTGGAGCCATCCACACTGGCCACAGAAAGGCAACAGCTGTAGGGCTGATGGAGAAGAAGCCAAAGATTTGAGCAGGGTCCCAGCACGTCATGGTGCTGTCTTCCTGCACACAGGCGTGCTGGAGGGGGATGTGAAATGCTGCCTGTTTCATTCATTCTATCTCAGGATAAGTCAGCACACCTTGGGGGGATAAGTAATGGAAAACACAAATTGGATCAGTATTTTCTTAAAGGAGGGGAAGCATGTATTTGTTCATGGACTGACAACTACAGAAGAGGTTTCTTCAGATGTGACTTGACCCAAGGCTCAGCAGCGTCACCATGATCTTAGTGTTTGTCTGTGTCTCTTTGCTTTTACCTGCTTCCCCCTTTACTGGTTCCCTTTCAGACAGGGCTTTCAAACGATGGCCCCTAGCAGCTCCAGATGTATGACTTCACCACGCCAAGGCCCTCAGAAAAGAAAAAGATCTTCCTTTCTCCCCCAGTGTGAACAAAATCCGAGGTCTAGCTCTCATTGGCCTGAACTGGATCACATGCTTAATCACATGCTTATCCCTCAACCAATCACTGTGGTGCACGGGATGTGCCATTCCCCTATGCCTGAGATCAGACACCCATTCCCAGAGGAATCAGCACGTGGACTGAGATGGGCAGATGTAAAGTAAAACCATATGAAGTTAACAAAAGGGATGCATAATGACAGAAATGACAGATGTCTAGTCACTCATGTTGAGAATACGTTGTCATCCCAGCTTCTAGCAAGACAAGGATGAGGTACGTTTGTGGAGCAAGGCACATGCAGGGGTCAGGTCTCCTGTTCTATGCATCACAGTCCTGCTGGACTGGCTCTCCTTTGGCATCTGCACAGCTCATCCCTCCCCACCCAGAGTGGGAGCTCCCAGCAACCATCTCTCCTCCACACGCTCCAGCTTAGGAGCCTGGAAGTAGCAGTCCAGCAGAGTGTCAACCTGACCCATGCAAGGCCAACCGACTCTCTCTCCTAACACTTTTCGGGACTTCCAGGCAGCTGGATGATGTCACAGGGTGCATCGATCAGGACCAGCCCTCTCAGCCTGAGGAACAGAGAAGACCTAGACTGTGGAGAGCGGAGAAGAGGCCATGTACCCTTCCCATTTCCAAACCCTGAAGAAGCCTCGTTACTCTCCTACTTGGGTTTCCTGGGACACATCCCCTTTTTCATTTCCTCAAATTAGTTTCTGGTTCTTGCAACAAAAAGCACCTATTATGTGCCAGCAGTGACTATAAGACATAGCCCCTCCCCTCACAAAAGTACAATTTTCTTACAATTCAGTAAGAAAACCTCATCATATAGTTTAAAGGAAAAAAAAAAGGTCAAAGGTTAAGATTAGGCAATTCACAGTCCAGGAATGACAGGTGGCCAGCCAAGAGTAGCTTGACTTTACTTGCGTTCAGGGAACTTCTGATTAAACAGCAAGAGGACCTCCCTGGCTTTCCAATGATTGAGACTCTGCACTTCCACTGCAGGGGGCACAGGCTCAATCCTTGGTTGGGGAAGTTCCACATACTGTGCAGTGTAGCAAACAAAATAAAAAATAAATAAAGCAAGATACTATTAGCCACTTACCTGATTGGCAAATATTTTAAAGTTTGAAACTATCAGAAATGGGGAGGGTATGAAGAAAGGGGGACACCCAACTGAGAATGTATCAACTAGTAGGGCCACTTTGGAAAGCAATTTGGCCAAATTGCTTTATTTATGAATCTAAAAACGCGCAATGTGGTATCCTGGATTGGATGCTGGAACAGATAAAGGACATTAGTGGAAAAGCCAGTGTTACAGACTAAATTGTGTCCCCTCCTAAACTCATATGTTGAAGACCTAACCTCCAATGTCACTGTGAGTGGCGACAACCTTGAGAGAGGTAATTGAGGTTAAATGAGATCATAAGGATAGAATCCTAATCCCATAGCACTAGTGTCCTCCATGAGGAAGAGACACCAAAGCGCTCTCTCACTCTCCCCATGCAGGTGTGCACAGAAGAAAAGCCACGTGAGGACACAGTGAGAAGGTGGCCGTCTGCAAGCCAAGGAGAGAGACCTCACCAGACACCAACGCTGGAGGCACCTTGATCTCGGACTTCCAGCCTTCAGAACCGTGAGAAAATAAATGTATGTTGCTTAAGTCACCCAAGTCTCTGATATTCTATTATGGCAGCCTGAGAAGATAATACAATTAATGAACTCCAAATAGGGACCTTCCTGGTGGTCCAGTGGCTAAGGCTTCGCACTCCCAATGCAGGGGACCCAGGTTCCATCCCTGGTCAGGGGACTAGACGCCACCTGCTGCAACTAAGAGTTTGCATGCCCCAACTGAAGAGCCTGCATGCCACAACTAAAAAAGATCCCGAGTGCTACAGCTAAGACCCGGTGCAGCCACATAAATATTTTTTAAAAAAGAAAGAAATCCAACTAAAGCCTGGAGTTTAGTTCACAGTAGTAATATGCAAATGTTGGATTTCTTAGTCTTGATCAATGTACTATGATAACATAAGATGATGACATTAGAGGAAACTGGTTGAGGTATACATGGGGACTGTCAATACTCTTACAACTTTTCTGTAAGTCTAAAATTGTTCCAAATTTTTGAAAAATTTATTTGCACAATGTGCATACCCTCTGATCCAGCAATTCTATACTATAGAGAAACGTACATGTACAGAAATCATGAATAAAGGATGTTCCTTGAAGCATGGCAGGTAATGACAACTCAGGAATTACCTAACTGTCCTTCAGTAGGAAACGAGCTAAATAAGCCAGAGAATGTTCATG